GTTGAAGTCCAAAAACCTGGATCTTTGTCCTGAGTCAATGCTCCTTTGAGGGCCTCAATTTCCCCAGAGAGTGAGGACCAGATTCGGTGACTGACAGGTCAATGATCTCTGATCCCAAAACTCGGCACGGAACCAATCAGCAGCCGCGGTATGTTGTGATCAGTTCTACAGACCTCCGCACACTGATTTGAGTGCCCGCTGCAGGCATGCTCATTAATAATAAGGCAGGCCTGGACTATGCGTCAGAAGACCCAGCTCTGAATCCGAGTGCTGACACTGGCCAATGTGCATCTCGGAGCAGTTATTCTCTTTCCCTAACTCGGATGCCCTCCTCTGAAACACCACGGTCAATGCAACAATGACGGACGTTGCGAGGCTCAAATTGCACTGATTGTGGGGAGTAATGGTCGGGTCACTAATGCCTGTGGTGAGAAATGCGATATGGACAGCCTTTGTATACTATAAGAAAAACGCCCTTGTACAAAGGACAGTGACCACTTCAGTGACCCCTCCTACCCTGCTATTGTTCTGGCCATGGCCCACAGAGCTGCTTGTGGTCTAGGAGAGGGAGTGCGTGAGTCCTAGAGGCGAGGACTTGGACTGCCTCCTCTCAGGTCCCCACCCCCAGCTGTCACTGTGCCAGCACAGGACTTATACCAAAGAAGAGCTTATGAATCACTACCTGCCCAGAGGGAAACTGGGACCAGTTCCTGAAACAGGATCTTGGGTCTTAGCCTTGATCACCTGGGCATGAAGGAGGTAGAGAGAGGCAGAACCATCATTCTTCAACTGTGACCTCTACATTGTGGGGGACACACGATCCCTAACCTAGGGCATGTCCCTATCTGATGGAGATCTAGTCCCGGAGCTAAGGGAGGACCTGACCTGTCTTGTCTTGAGCTCAGGGAGACACCTGCCTAATGGGGAAGACTTATCTCTGACTGGAGGCGACTCCTTCAGGTACCTCTAAATAAAAAGCCCAACCTCCTCCTCCTGCCGCTCTCCTCCTCCCCACTCCCCCACCCCCCAGAATTTCCCACCTTATTTTGGAGACAGCTACTGGTGCTGAGGAGCGATGGAGGATGGAAGATGGAGGGTAGGGACAGAGCACACCACTGTAATTAGCAAAAGAGATAGCTGAAAATGGAAATAGCTAGATGAGTCTCCTGGAACCAGAGGGACATGGGAATGGGGGTGGGAGACTGAAGGGGGAATAGCCCTGCCCTGGGCCACCTCCCGCTCTTCTCTGGGCCTCCCCTGTCAATGAGGGCCCCTGCACAACTTGAGCCAAGTCATATGAAAACCCCATGGTCCTCACAGTAGCTCATAGAAGGAAGAAGACTGGAGCAAGCAGACTGGAGTGAGGCCCAGGAATCACAGCCCCCCCCCCCAAGTGCTGGTTGAGTGGACTGTGTGGGTGACAAGGAATTAGGGACCCAAGGCAGGCCTGAGGAGTCAAGGAGGGGTAATGCCAAGATCCCAGCCTCCACCTCCTGCCTAGTCTGTTTGTCTTCATTTTCCAAGTCCCAAGGAAACAGCTCTTAGCTGGGGAACCAGCTGGCTTGGCCGTCCTCTCGGCCATACAGATGGACCTCAGCCTCCTGGAACAGAGACCCTGGTCCTACTGCTGCAGGAACAGAGGCCCCTCCTTGGCCCTTCTCCCAGCCGCTCTGGCTAGTGGCTTCCTTCTCTGCTGCCTCTTCTTAGAAAGGCTTTGCCTTTTCCCACCCCCCCGCCCCACCCCACACACACACCTGGAGCCTACCTTCGATCCTGTGCCGGCTGCGCCAGGAGCATGCCTCTTCCTCTTGTTGCTAGGGAAGAAACGGTCACGGCACGTGTCCAAACAGAACGTGTTTCTGGACATTCCGTTGACTGCTCCTGCCAGTGGGTGCACTGAAATTTAAAGGGGAAGGGACTTCCCCAACGCCGAGGATCCTTCAGTTCAACAGACATGCAGCGTGGGTAGCCTGTGAACAAGGGGCTAGCAGGAGGGGGGGGGCGGGGGGCATCAATGCCAGAACAACTACTTTGTCTCTGTTGCTGTCCCTTTCTGGGAGCCCACCCCGCTTGCCAGCCCAACCCGTCTCCACCTCCCCAGATCATCCCATCTTTTGGGTCCAGAACCGGGACTGGGGGCAGGGAAGACTTCCTAAGTTGAGGTCATTGTCAAGCTGAATAGCAGGTGCAGAGACCTTTCACTGGAAGCCCCCGGCCTTCAGGGACTCAGCAATGCCCTGAGTCAGGGGAGTGCCTGCAGGGAGGCTGCAGGAGTCAGCCCAGTCGGGAGTCTGACCTCGGCCACGTGAGGGATGGGAGTGGGGGGGGGCAGTGGAGTGACTGCAGTTTACACACATGGTCTTCATCCCAGTGTGTCATCACCTGGGGGGGCTCTGCAGCTGTCTCTTCCATTCACCTATGAACCCTTTGATGGATGGGATCAGGAAGGACTCAGCCCTATCATGGGACACCCTGTCCAGGGCTTGGACCACACTGGACACCAGGATATGTGTGTTAGGACTGTGAAGAGCGAGGCCCCTTGGCCAGCTCCCGGCTGGTGCTGAACCAAAGCAATCTGAGTGTGGAAAAGGGGACTCAATGAATCTAGTGCACCCACCCCAGGGTGCCCACATACAAAATCTGGGGTGTTCCACAGCCAGAGTGTACCCAGGGGGTGGGCAGTGAGCCAGCAAGTGGGACAGGACACTGTGTCCCCCAGGGCTGAGTGGACAAGGCAGGTAGGGGCGTGAGGAAATCAGAGTAGTCAGAAACTTTCTGGAGAAGGTAGGATTAAGGCTGACTTGGAAGGAGCCCTGGTGGCAGAGTGGTTACAAGTTGGGCTGCTAACCGGTTGCAAGGTCAGCAGTTCGAAACCACAAGCTGTTCTTGGGGAGAAAGATGAGGCTTTCTACTCCCGTAAAGAGTTCCAGCCTCAGAAACTCACAGGGGCAGTTCTGCCCTGTCCTGCAGGGCTGCTTTGAGTCGGCCTTGACTCTATGGCAGTGAGGTTGTTGAGTTCTGAAGGAGGTGAGGGTGGACAGCCTGGAGCAGCAGTGCCCCGGATGTGATAAGAACCACCCGGACGGGCTTAGAATGGAGTGGCAGGGAGCAGAATGGCACGCAGTGGCCCTGCCCTTCAAGGGAGCAGGGTGGGTAGCAGGAGGACTTCAAAGATGGAATCCAATGGAATGGAATGCAGTCTAGTATAATGATTTTTCCGTAGATGTGCCTGGAACGGGATAGGGTGGAGAGGAAGGGGACAGAGAGAAAGGAGAGTACGGAATGGCGTGGACTAGAACTCACTGGGTGGAGCTGAAAAGCCTGGTGTGGCCGCCTGATGTCTAGCCGGCTTGCTCTGAGCTCCTCCCCATTCCCCGCCCCCAACAGTCTTCCCCAGGGTGCTGCTGCGGAATCTGCGCCACCCCATCTTCCTGCTGGTGGTCCTGGCCCAGGTGTGCCTGCTGTCCACGGTGGCGGGCATGGCCACTTTCCTGCCCAAGTTCCTGGAGCGCCAGTTTTCCATCACCGCCTCCTACGCCAACGTGCTCATCGGAGGCCTCACCATCCCCGCGGCCATCATAGGCGTGGTGGTGGGCGGGGTCCTCGTCAAGCGCCTGCACCTGGGCCCTATGCGCAGTGCCACCCTCTGCCTGCTGGGGGCACTGCTGGGCCTCCTTTGCAGCCTGCCCCTCTTCTTCATGGGCTGTTCTACTCACCAGATCGCAGGCGTCACCCCTGGGCCTGGGTGAGTGTGTGCGCGGTCGTGTGAGTGGAAACAAGGGGGAGGTGGGGGCAGGGACCCTGGGCAGGTCAAGCCAATGAGGGACCTACCTGCCACAGAATTAGCTCTGTGACCATAGCAATGGGCCCCCGCCTCTTTGCCTACAAGCTACACACACACACACACACACACACACAACTCTGTGACCATAGCATTGGGCCCCCGCCTCTTTGCCTACAAGCTACACACACACACACACACACCACCTCTTTGCCTACAAGCCATCTACACCCACCACCACCACCACCACCCTGTAACGAGGAATCCCCAGAGTCGTGGGGGCACAGTGGAAGGAGGACAGTGCTCACACCTGTGCACAGCGGAAGGAGGACAGTGCTCACACCTGTGCAGGAGAGGGCGGGTCTCCACCCCTGAGGGTGAGGGTGGGCCAGAGCAGTGAGCAGGACCGAAAGACTAACCCAACACACCGCCCTCGAGTGGATGCCAAGGCATCGTCCATCCGGACAGGGTTTCTGTCTTCATCGACGGACAGCCTCGCGTCTTTCCCCTGTGGCGGGCTGGCAGGTTTAACCAGCCGGCCTTGTGGTTAGCAGCTGCGGAAAGGACACGGGCACTGGGGAGGGTTCAGGCCGAGACCTCAGAGAGCCTCGCTTCAGTGCTACCCTTCAGTGGCCCTCAAATTGCTATGTCCTTCCCGGCCCTGGCGGTGGGGTGGTTAGGAGCTGCGCTGCTAATTGCGGGGTCAGCAGTTGGAACCTGCCGTTCTGAGGGAGGGAGAAGAGGCTTTCTGCGCCCATAGAGATTTATGGCCCCAGAACCTCACAGGGGCGACGCTCCTCCGCCTTACCAGCTGCTACCAGTTGGAATCAATTCAATGGCAATGAGGTGGGTGGTTGCTAGATTTCTCCCAAAGTTTGTAGCGTGGCACCTGCTTCCCACCTCCCGGAGGTGACCTCTGAGGCTTCCATCCTGCCTATTCATCCCCCACCCCACCCCACCCCCATACATACATACCACACCCCTCCCCTTGAGAGGCTCCGAGAGGATGCTGTCCTACCTCTTCCCTAGAATGATTTCATTGTGCCCGGGAACCACTCCATTTCAGCTTGGCCCAGACACCCGGCCAGAATTCCCCAACATTCTCTGTCCCCACTTCATCCTTGGCACTGCTTCCCTCCACCCAGGTGTCAGCTCTGGCACCCAGAACCAGTCTCCAAGGCGGCCAGATCGTCCTGTCTCTGGACCAGGCCCCACCCTCACTGGCTCTCCCACAACTCCCCATGCTCCTTCCCCTCCCTCCCTCCTGCTCCCAGACAGTGAGGCGGCTGGACTTCCTGTGTGCAGAGCCCTGCTGGGCCTTGAGCCCTGGGGGGCGGGCGACCAGGGTCTGCTGATGATTCTTAGAGGGAGGAGTGGGTGGAGAAGAGGCAGTCTGCCTGCCATCTCGCGCTCACACCTGGACTCTGCCCCATCTCACCTGTGTTCCCGTGGACAACTCCCCCTGGGCTCTCGTTCAGACAAGAAGCCTCGCTGCCTCAACAGAGCCAGAGAGGCTGTTGGTGACAACAACCAAGAACCAAGGGCTTCCCACCCACCGAGCACTTTTCTGGACCCTCACTGTCTCTGTGAGCTACACTTGATGTGGACAGTCAGGCTCAGAGGGACAGCTGAAGGGGACCGAGCCCAGAGCCAGGGCTCCCCCTACAGGAACAACCAGCTCCAAGTGGTCCCTGAGGAGCACAAGGTGGACGAAGGCGGGTTTGCCCTTCTCGGACTGCCAGCTGCTGGCAGAGGCTGCTTCCCCAAACGCCTGCCCTGACCCGATGCCCTGGCATGGCTTCTTGGTAGGTTTTCCCCTTCAGGCCATGCCACTCAGCTCCCTGTTCTGGTGAGGCACCTCCAGGCAGAGCAGGAGACACAAGCTGGCATGGGAGGAGGGGAGGAAGGTGCGCTCACCTTGCCTCCAGGTCCCACCTGTCCACCCCTCTCCCAGGGCCATTTCAGGGGCAGCCCCGCCCCCAGCCTTCAGGCAGGCCCCTGCTGCCAGGCTCACCTCTATGCCTGGCCTTCCACCCTACCGGCTCCCCTCCGAGTGCAGGGCATAACCAGTGCCCACCTGTAGCTTGCTCTCCATCTCCCTGGACAGGTGCGCTGTGCTTCCTGTTAGCTGTGAAGCCAGATCAGACTCCGAGTTCTAGTGGCCACCTCCATGCCCCCACTCAGGGAGAGTTGTCCCCTAAGAGCTCAGCTGACCCATCTCATTCACCCCACCTTGAGGGCATCTCTGGAGCCTGGGGACAGGTCCTCAGGAGGGGATAAGGCAAATCCTGGTCTCAGTGGACAGGGCACCTGGTGTGGGCCATGACATCATGAGACTGCGTGACGTGGGTTAGGAGGGCACCCTGCTGAGCAGACACACAGAAAACCTGAGCTCAGAGAGGGAGGCAGGAGCGGGCCTGGCAGCCCCCAGCTCCCCAGGCCTCCTGACCAGTTCAGCCCATCACAAGATGGGCACTTTTCAGCTGAGACTACCTTCTCAGAGGAATTTTCTTGTGTAGAAGGGTCATCGAGAAGCAGAGATTACCACAGAAGCTGCTCAGATACTGGTAGAATCTTGGGACTTGGAGGGGGGGCGTCTGAGTCTCCGGTCCAATCTTCCCCACTCTGCCCATCTCCCTGCTCACCCCCCTTGGGCCGAGGAGGTCACACGGCACAGGGTGAGTGGGCAGCCCTGACAGGGTAAGAAACTCTGTGTGGAGTGGAAAGCTCCGGCCAGGGCTCTTGGGGACGGGGTCCCAGCTCCTGGTCCCAAGGCAGAAGAGCCAGGCCAACCCTGCCCGTCTTCTCTCCCTGCAGCACCCGGGCTGAGCGGGAGCTGTTTCCAGGCTGCGCTGAGCCCTGCTCCTGCCCATC